CATTACATGTACTTACTGACACATATATAACAATAATACTTAAAGAATAAGAGTCCATAAATTTGAGAGAGATCTGAGGGCATGTGGGAGGGATTGGAGTTGGGTACTACAATTGTGTTTTAATTAAATTTTTAAATAGTTAAAAAAAACACTAAAACTTCATTCCATTTTCTATCGCTATAATAAAATATCTGAGGCTTTATACTTTGTGAAGAAAGAGGCTGTTAGCTCACAGGTTTGAAGGCTTTAAGTCCGTGGTAAGGTGACCCAATTGGGGAGGGCCCCTGGACTGCAGCACCAAGAGGCCCCTGGAGTGAGGGACAGGCCAGCTCCTAGAGACCAGCATTAACCCCTTCTGAGGGTGGGGTCTCCAGTGGCCCAGGCCTGCTCACAAAGATGCCTCAACTCTGTCACACTGGAAACTCAGTTTCTAGATCATGGACATTTGGGAGAACACAACTGAACCAGGAGAATGTCAAAGCCTACATCCCTACATGGCTGTTCTCAATTAAGTACACTGAGAAAATCATTTAGTGCTTTGTGGTACCCATGAAAGAATCCTGGGCATCCAGAAATGCTATGAGCTTGTGAACTCAGGGGCACTTGGAGAAGGCGTCTCCTGGATTGAAGTCCCTAGAGTGCAGGCTCCCCAGCCCCCAAGTAATATCCCAGGCAGAATTCCTCCAGGGTGTTCATTAGTCAGCAGTCTTTGCCTTGTGAGCACAGAGGGGCCAGCCTCTTACTTGTTCATAATCAAGTCAACAATTAACCAACAGCTGGATTTAAAAGAGGAATTTTTATAGATCAAATATTCATATTTTCCCGCATTCCCCACATTCCACTCAGCGTCCGGATTTCATCATTCTCTTTCACGGTCATGACTGCATAGTGAGATATTAATTATTGTCCTTCTCCACCTTTATCTGCTTCACTATGGCTCTGAGTGCAAATACCCATAAGTTATTTAACAGGAGCCACAGCTATGAACACGTTATTAACTTGCTGCTCCACTAGAAGAAGAGTGCATTCGCCACTTTTCTGTTGCAGTGCTTAAACACCGTGGCCGAGACAACTTACAGAAGGGGAATTTATTTGGGCTTGTGCTTCCAGAGGGTTGAGTCCAACATGGTGGGGAAGCAAGAGGCAAGCATGGCGGCAGGAGCAGGAAGCTGGGAGCTCACATCTTGAACCTCGAGCAAGAAACAGAAAGGGTGAACTGGATGTGTGCAGAGGAGCTCTTAAAGCCCCTCTCCAGTGACACACTTCCTCCAGCTGAGACCCACCTCCCGAACCTCCCCCAACAGCACTGCCAGCTAGGGACAAGGTCTTCAAATATGGCAGCATATGGGCTCGTTCTTACTCAACCATTAAGAGCAGTATGAGTTGAACCATACGCTCATCCTCATTTACGTATTTTAAAGGTGTTTTTAGTCCTATTATTATTGATTCTGTTTTTATTATGCATTTATTATTATTAATATTATTTATTTGTGCATGTGTGTGTGCAGGGGCAGGTATGCATGAGCCACAGTGAACATTTAGGGAACAAAAGACAATCCATAGGAGTCAGTTCTTTCCTTCCACCATACAGGCTCCTGTGACTGAATTCAGGTGATCATACTTGTGCTACCCATGCCTCTCGTTGGCCCTGAGGCCCTATTCCGAAAGAGAAAAGTTGATCCACACTTTTTAATTAATCCAGATGCTTTTCTTAATAGTTTTTGTACAGGCTCCTCTGTAATTTTTCAAAAAATAAGCATGTTCTCTGCAATATTATGTATTTGAAATTTGAGTTTAGCTGAACACCCTGTGTTTGATCTGGCATACCCCGCATTGTCTCTGTCTGGTATTGGGTGGGGTCTTTCCAGGTAAGGTTTAGCACTGATTGCCCATCTTCAGATTCTTTGCCCCAAAAGACCCAGCAGCAAGTTCCCAGGGCTTTGCCCCATGGCAATGTGTTCTTGCTGAGTCTTCCCCTGCACTCTTGGGGGATTCCCCTAGGTGTGGTAATTTGTTTCCACTCCAGTGTTAGGGTATTAGTGTGTTAGGGCAAGCTACAGCAGAGGACCCCAGATCAAGCAGTTTAAACACCCCATGCTTGTTTTCTCCACAGCTCAGAGGTTGAAGGCCAGAATCAGTCAGTGATGTGCATTTCTTCTGGGACCTCTCTCCTGGGCTTGGAGGTGACTGTCACACACGTGTCTTCAGATCATATTGTGTTGTGATTCGTGTTCCAATTTCCTCTTCCAACAGGGCTAACCCCAGTGGTCCAATTTAATCTTAATTACTCTTCTAAAGACCTAGTCTCCAGGTATAACTGGAGGCAGAGTGAGTGAGGACTTCCCTGAGGGAATCTGGGGCACACAGCTGTCTGCTGCAGAGTTCTCTGAGTCATTGGCTGTCCATCTCAGGCATCAACCTTCATCTTGTTCTCTCTCTGGACAGAGTGCCTCCTTGTTCTTCCAGTATTGTTACCTCACCTGAGACTCTGGTGGCTCTTAGGAGAGTTTGACTTCCCTGTGGCCTCCTCCCATGAAGGGCATGACTTCAGTTTTGGGTGGTGCTTCCTTGGCAGGGCTCTGGTCACTGTGGACAAATTCCCCAGTATTGGTCAACACCCTTCTGGACTTCCAAATTGGATCATTGCCTGGAAACTTCTGCATGCTGCCTCACCCCACCAGGGCTGCCTAATGCAGGCATCTGTCTGAATCACTCTCACTCTTGAGACAGTCTCTATCTTTAAGTCTTGGGCTAGAAATGCCAAACCACCTGCCTAGGACCTGGTCCTGTTACAGGTGGCTCAGCTCATACCATCTGACATCTCAGGCCTGCAGATCCTCAGGGTCATGCAGTCATGACAGTGTATAGTTCACCACTAGCTTTTCTGATTTTTAGATTTCAATTATAATCTATTTTGTCTAGACCTTAGTACATCTAATGACTTACAGTGTGGTTTTGATTCATTACGATTGGCTTCTAGATTCTTCATATCATTGTGGGAACATCGTAGAATTTACCTAGTCTCCTTGAACATTGCCTTCTTGATGATGTAAAAACATAAAATTCTTTGTCCTGTGATGTATATTGTAAAGGTTGTCTTAGTTAGGGTTTCTATTGCTGTAAAGAGACACCATGATTGCAATAACTCTTTTTTGTTTATTGTTGTTTGTTTGTTTTTCCCAAACAGGGTTTCTCTGTAACTTTGGAGCCTGACCTGGAACTCATTCTGTAGACCAGGCTGTCTTCAAACTCACAGATATCTGCCTATCTCTGCCTCCCGAGTGCTGGGATTAAAGATGTGCACGCCCCCACTGTCTGGCTCAAAGAAATTCTTATAAAGAAAAACATTTAATTGGGGCTAGATTACAGTTCATAGGTTTAGTCCATTATTGTCATGTTGGGAAACATTGTGATGTGCAGGCAGACATGATGCCGGAGAGGTAGCCGAGAGTTCTGCATCTGGATTGTCAGGCAGCAGGAAGAAAGAGTGACACTGGGCCCGGCTGACACATTTGAAACCTCAAAGCCCACCTCTAGTGACACACTTCTTCCAACAAGGTCACTTCACCTAATAGTGCCACTCACTATGAGCCTATGGGGGTTCCTTTTATTCAAACCACCACAAAGGACATAATTTCCACTACAAGCCTAGATGACTGAACACCTAAAAGCAGGTAGAGCAGACGTCAAAGCCTTTGGTACACCAAAACTAAAAGTTGAAAATACAAAAACCAAATCTCTTGTTAGTGGTTTTTGATCAATCATATGTTGAAATGACTCTCTGCCTGGTTATATTGGATTAAATCAAATGCGTGATTAAAACCTGTTTTTTCTAATTATAGTTCCTGTTATTAAGTATGGCTCTTGGACATGTCAAGTTCCACACATGGCTCTCTGTGATCTCCTTTTCCTCTGTGCTGTGCGCTGCATTCATCTGTTCCTCAGACTTCAAGGCAATCATCTAACAAATTCATGCACGTCACTCTTAAAATATACGGTAATATCTGGGAGACAAGACCACAACCATTGTCTGTGGTACACTTATGTCTCCGATTGCCTTTTAGAAGTCCAAGCCAATTGTTCTGGATACATTTCAAAATTATTTTCTTGCCAAATTCATAAAAAACCCTTTAGGCTAATTCCTCTGTACAACTACACACATTCTCTTCCCTGCAAGTGACTGCGTATAGAATGTGGAGGTCTCTTGTTTACTTTTCACAGGTTTTGAAAGCCATTCTTCACAGGTAATGCCTTGATAGACTGTTATAAGCCCCTGAATGCAAACGTTGTTGGCTTTTATGTCTTTGTCGTTTATGGGTAATTAATTTGCTTCTAAGTATTTGTGACTGTTCCTGTCTAGGAAGAGCACTTTGCTCCTCTCACCATGTATTAATCATTGTGTTCTGTTTTCTCTGTCATTGTGACTTAAAGAAGATGGAGACTTCCCAGCCTTAATACATAATCACGCTGGTAGTGGGCATTGCTCCCGAAAACAATTTGCTGGTGTTGCTCTTAGGAATTTTTACCCCATTAAACTTGGCAATGTTTCACCTTGGCTCAGTTTGCATTCAAGGACGCCCATTAGTGAAGCATTTTCCCTTCCCAAGTAAAATAAGCAGTCTGGAAGGCAGAATTTCCTTCTGGCTTCTACAACCCCATTCACTATATAAAAATAAAACCATTAGTATTTGGTTTAGAGACATATTTTCATAGGGTGACATGCCAGACTACAGACAATCCATGATGCTTTGTAAAAACGTCACTGGACCATGTATAGGTTGTGTATTCCCTTTCCAGAATCCAAGTTCAAGTGAAATAAGTGAGTGTTTGGCTTGGTGTCAGGGATAGCTCTACAGTTAGGGTCAGTGTTGGGGAAACCTCATTTTAATGTTCTCGCGCACTGCACATGAGTTTTTAAACTAAAATCCCTGGTAGAAGATTTTAATTTACGGAAGTCCTCAGGACATCGGTTAGAGCTATCTTATGGTTTACATCAATAGGCAAACAAAGCAGCTATTGGCATTCATCTCAGAGGAAATGACAGACTTGGAATTTTTATGGAGCACCCGACTGAGCAAGCCACTAACTGCAGCTCTCACAAAGTGATAAGAGTGTAGCTGAGCAGCCACCAGCCAAGACTTCACCTCTGAGTCCTCAACAAGGACAGAGCACATGGTGAGTTCTGATTCCTGGTCCTGGAGAGATGCACTTGAGTTACTTTAAGAACTGAGTCAGACAAAACTGGAAATTCAATGCAGAGCCTCTGGTTTAGCCTTGGGTTTCTTGAGTGGGAGAACTCTAGATTCCTTTCTATGCCAAGAAAGTGTACTGAGCATATCTTGTCATAGACACCGTACCCTCTGAGCATGAGAGAGAATTTCTAGATGTACTTTCTCTTAAGGGAAAGTCCCTGGAATATCCTGTCCAATAAAATGGTGGGTACCTTAGCTAATGGTCCCCAGGAATTCATATGGTAGAATGGATATCTCACTTGGTCTAGAGTCTAAGAAAGTCTTTTTTCTAGCTCTCCAAATCAACTATCCTGCCATGTAACCCCCAGTATGTCTCCCAGTTCAAACAGCGTCTCCCATCAGACTGGTGGACAAGGAGGAAGAGGGCGAAAGGTCTCAAGATGAAGTTCTTTCATGTTAGTGATGTTCCCACTGCAACTTTGACTCCAAATCAGTGGTTCATTGGTGTTAAGAAAAGCAGGGACTGGAGCCTGGCCTGGGATTGCCATCACCCATAGAAGCCTCACATCAGCCCACAGCCATCTCCACAGCCAAGTTTGTTCATTGAGAAGTCGTACTTGGCATGAGAATGTTCAGGGAGTCTTGGTCACCTCCAAGTACTTCGGATTCTGCCTCAAGAGCTGAGGCAACTTCAAAGACATCAGGCCACAGTTAGAAGATATGAACTGAACACACACCTCTCAGTTCAAAGGGGATGGCATTCTGTCCCTGGTTGTCTCTCACCATGGAAGAGATGTGTTATTTGTGGTGTCTCAGATGTGGGTGGTACCTGTTCAAGCGTACCTTAGTCCACAGTTCTAAGAGAAAGATTCCCAGCCCCGAGACACACAGTCTGCACCCAGTTTGTTCTCTGTGGAGCACACGGCCTGTTTTCACCCTCCCACTTTGGGTGGTACAGGGAGTGTGGGAAGACCCTTCTTTGCGACCTCCTCCAGGCCACCAGCTGCAGACCAGGAGCTGTTCCCAGAAGTCTGCGTTTCCTCACCCATTAGGAGTTGAGCTGTGGTGATCTTTAGAGCAAACGACCTTCCAAGGCTCAGGGTGGGAACAGTGATAATGCGCTGTGTCTTCAGCTAAACCCCTTTTAAACAAGTACAGCCTTCAGCTGATCCAAGAGCAGATAAGAGAGGGATCCGGGTCCCCCTCTGAAACCGGTAATGAATCCAAACAAGCATTCTTGGAAGGATGCTTCTGCTCTGGTTTGTATTAGGCTTGCAATTAAAGTGTTTACACAATGGGGCCTCCAAGCAGGATCCTTCACCACATGAAAGGGAGGAAAAGCCTCCTGAAAGGAGGCGGTCCTATGCACTCCTTGGCTATTTTTCCCAGACCTTGGAAAAGGCCAGAGCTTTTCAAAGAGGTCACTGGGAGGGAAGAGGATCAGAGGCAGGCCAAGCGGGGAAGGCCCTACCCAGTGCAAACAGCATCCTTCCTTTGCCAGGCTCTCATGGCTCTAATCCGCCCTTCACAGAGCAGAAGAAAGGAAAAGAGACTGGAGTGGGCTGGGCGTGGCCCAGCTCCCTCCCAGGTCTCTGCTTCTCTGAGACCTGGTGTCACTGCCGATTCTGAGCTCCCTGGATGGGCCTGCTCATTCCTGCCATGTTTAAATGAGGCTTGCTCCTGAGACCCCTTTGTGGGATGGGAACAATCAGGTAGTGCCACCCAGTGACTGGCTGCAGACATCCCAAAAGTGTGAACCTGTCAGGGAAATGTGTCCCTTCCTCACTGTCCAGCAGAGGAGCCTTGGGCTTGCCATCCCTGCTTTTAGATTCTGGATCTTGAAGACTGTCACACTTCAGGGAGACACTGAGGGAGAGGGAACTACAGAGTTCCCACAGGAGCCAGGAAGTCCCCATGTTCCGTGTCTCTGCCCTGGGACCTTATGAGGGAGCCCATTATGAATTTCCTAAAAAACAGTCTCAGAAGGTTGGGAGAAAGAATAGGACCCTCCCTCATGCTCTCAAGGGGATGGAGCTTCAGATTCAGACTGTAAAAAGTCTCAAGTCAGGTGGCCTTTCGTCCTTGCCCCTTACCACTCTTGGGGGCATGGCAGACTGCCATGTGTGTGGTCTTTATTGTTCTTGTGATCGTTAAATGTTAATCTCATTTTTCCTTTATCACTGAGTGCCTATCCACTGGGGGCATGGTAGATTGCAGGGCCATTTCCCTGTGTGTGGTCTTGATTCTTCTGGTGATATTTAAATGCTAATCTTAGTTTTTGCTTTATTACTGAATGCTTAAAGCGTCCCTTTTAATAACCCTCCACATTCTTCATGGTTCTCCCATTAGCACTTAAACTACAGCAAACCTGATGGGCATCTGTAAGTCACATGCTTTTCTTCTCCGGGACAGCCAAGGGACTCAGCAGCCTGTTGGTATGTATGGTATGATACCATAATCTATAAATATAGATGCATGTTCACTTTAAAATAGTTTTCCAAAGTATATGGCATAGTTCAAATGTTTTAAATTGATGGCATCATTTAAATCCATCAGAATATAACTTTAATGTCTTTATTATATTCCAGCATATGGATATATCAATTTATTTAACGATCTAAATGTTACTAGTCATTTAGAGTGCTCTGGGTTCAATGTAAAGAATTTAGACAAAAAGCTGGATAATGTGTGTGGGGGTGCATCCACGTGTGTGCGTGTGTGCACAAGTGTGCCCACTTGCATATATGGAGGTCACGGGAGGTGCCAGGGGTTCTGCTCTGTCACTCTCCATCCTGTCACTGGTTTGCAGCTATGCTGGCCGACCAGGAAGCCCCCACAGCTCTGTCTGTGCTTAGGTTGCAGGTGCACAGCCTGGTTCTTACAGAGATGCATGCTGGGATTCCAAACTCAGTTTCCTGTGCTCTGAGTGCTCCTACCCAGGGAGCTGTCTCCCCAGCCCTATGACAGAATATCTTAAGGCCTCACGAAGACCGGAGCTTGGCTTTGCTCTGTCTCTGTCCCCTACATGCATCAGCACTGAGCAGCATGGGGGAAGCCTTTGGCAAGCACATGGCCCACTGTCTACACAGACGAACTGGATTGTCTTAATGTAAAAGCAAACACTTTTTTTTTACCCATTTTTAGCTGAATCTTCAAAGAAAAATCTGCTTGATCGTTGTTGACTTTAAAGACATTTTCTTGTCTTGACGTATTTACATTAAAGGTAGAATCTAGTTAAATTCAACAGACTGTTCCAAACAAATGGACTCTCTTTGAATGGTGTCCATCTGTTTGTGAATTGCATACTCATGCGTGATTAAGCCTTCCACCTTTGTCTTACTATCTTCCCATTGTTTGATCTTAGATCGTACCCTGGTTCGAATGGAATGTCCTCCAAAGACCCTGACATGAAGTTTCCAGTGGTGGCACTCGAGCTGTCCCAAAGTGGGTGTTCCCATTCTCTGGAATGACTGAAGTGGAGGGGAGTCTACCACAGGCTTTATCATCACAATACCCTGAGATAGTGGGGTTTAGTCTCTGAGTCAACTCCACCCATCAAAGCAGTATCTAGTGAGAGCTCATCACAACTCAGTCACTCTACTGAGTACATGGGATAGAGGCATGATAAGAATCTCTGCCAGAGTAGAAAATCACACTGCCACTACTATCACACACACACACACACACACACACACAGGTCCTCAGATGAAACAATTATTAGTTTACTGCCCAGTCTCAGCCTTTCAGCTGTAGCTTTAGAGAATATGGTAGGACTGTTACTATAACAACCAGTCCCACACTAAAGATGGGTGCACAAGAGCTAAAGAGATCAACTGATCTCTACAGGAAGACATATCCTACTAGTGGCCGCCCCAAGGCTGGGGCTCAGGTGCTCACTAGTTCTCATGTGGCTCTAGGCTCCAGCTCAAAGTTGGCCCTGAGCCTTATAGTGCTGTGCTTGTAGGGAGTTGCTGAACTTGGAGTTTCAGTTAGAAATCTCATGCTTCCTGTATCTAGTTCCTTGCTGGAACAACGTGCTGCGTTAGACACACCTTTCCTGATGCGTGTGAATCTTATCTCATATCCTGTGAGACAATAGCTGGAGTGTGACTGTAAGATTACCAAATGGTCACTTTCCATAAACAAAATCCATCAGCCTTGCTCTGTCCTGCCATGAGAGTTTAGCTTGAACCGACTCCAGAGGAATTTGTTGTCAATCAAGTTTGCGACACTCATCAGATAGGCTCCTGGTCGCATTTATAGATGGCTTTGCTCTGTGGGTGTGTACTTTGCTTTCTGACTGTAACTGGTCCATCCTGAGGCATTTTGACTGAGTTGTGTGCTTTTATAGTCCCAGGATCTGGTTGGTCCTCCATATCTAGTCAATGGCACCTTGATTTTCCTTTGGGGACCCAACATCTTCTACTTCTACCATCTCTAAATGTATGCTATAATATGAAGGTGACACACTCAACCTAGACCAATTAGATTCTTTAGACATTTGAACATCAAGCCAAACAGATCAAGGCCAGACATTGGCTGGGACTTAAATAGGAAATGTCCATGATTCTCTGGAGTGCTAGGATTAAAGATGTGCACCACCATGCCCAACTCTATTTTATTTTTTAATTAAAATCAGTTACAACAGTTCCTTCTCTCTTCCCAGCCTCTCCCACCCTTTCTTAAATGTGTGACCTCTTTTTCTTTAATAATTATTGTTACATATATAAATATATTACATATACAAATATGCAATATATACATATTATATGTATGTATGTATGTTAGTTACCAGTAGCTCTTGATGAAGAGTGGTGGGGTTATCTGTAGGCTTATCCAGTAACGAGACACAAACCGTGACTCAATGATCGCACATGGAGTTTTATTGATGGACAGGGAAGGACAGCGGGGTTAGGAGTAACCAACCAATGCAGAGCTGAGAGAGAGAAAGAGAAAGAGGGAAAGAGAGAGAGAGAGAGAGAGAGAGAGAGAGAGAGAGAGAGAGAGAGGGATGATACAAGAGAGAGAAAGGGGGGGATGAGATTTTCTATTAATCACTTTATGTAACTCCTATAAATTTTACATCTAAAACTAATGAATTTCAGAATAACATTTATTATAGTATTTTATTAATACACCATTATTTGCATTACATTTACATGGGTCAAACTGTAAAGTGTGGAAGGAGATGTTTCTTGTACATGGTATTTAGAATGGTTATCTGAAAGTGAATCTTCATAGATTGGCTTGAATGTAAATGATATGCACAGCTTATCACAGCAACTCCACTGCTTAGCCAGGATGATGATCTGTAGCAGTGGTTTTCAACTTGTGGGTCGCAACCCCTTTAGGACTCAACAGACCCTTTCTCAGGGGTCGCCTAAGACCACTAGAAACCACAGATATTTACATTATGATTCATAACAGTAGCACAAGTGCAATTATAAAGTAGCAACAGAATAATTTTATGGTTGGGGGTCACCACAACATGAGGAACTGTATTAAAGGGCACAGCATTAGGAAGGTTGAGAACCACTAATCTACAACATCATCCAATCCTTGACGTACAGGAAAACAGAGCAGCCAAGAAGGGTGTTACAATAGGCAGAGAGCCAACTGATCTGGCCTGTCATTGTAGGTCAAGACCAAAGTCATAACTGAATGCTATACTCTGTCCCAAAGGTCAATTTCAGGGCATCCTGACTATTTAATGCTTAACTAAGTCTAATGTGTAGCTGATACAAAATTTTTGTCATGCAATAGTTTTCTTTATGTATATGTATAAATATTCCATCATTTATATGTGTACATGTGTACATAGGTACCTACCTACATACACATACATGCACACACACACACACACTTCCTCTTCTCACTGTAAATTATCTACCTATCTGCCTTCTCATACATATCATACACACACACACACACACACACACACACACACACACTTCTTCTCATTGTAGTTTATCTGCTCTACATCCCATATTCCATTAACGCTAGTCAAGGTTGGGCTACCAGTCTTCCAATTACCTGGGTGGGGGGAGTTCATTCTGAAGTATGGCTTCATTCCTTGCTTTCAAACACCCTATGAAGGAGATGAAGCCCCTGGCTCACCACAAGCCCAGCCAGACTCGCAGGGAAGCTTCATCCTTCTTTTTCCTGAGTTGCTTCCTCTGCACATTCTCAACCAATATACCTGACAACAAGAATACCCAGGTGCTCATTCTCGGGGTGCTGTGATAACACTGGCTTTGGGCAAGCAGGGTGCATTATGGGAGCAGAATGGTGGACATCTGTGATCTGTGGTGTCTTTTTTTTTTTTTGGTTTTTTACGAGACAGGGTTTCTCTGTATTGTTTTGGAGGCTATCAGTCCAGCCCGGCCTTGAACTCACAGAGATCCACCTGCCTCTGCTTCCCGAGTGCTGGGATTAAAGGTGTGCGCCACCGCCGCCTAGCCTGTGGTGTCTTTTTTAACTCTCAATTTGACATAAACCAAGAGTCACCTGAGAAGAGACTCCAAGAGGCATTGTCTAGATGAGGTTGGCCTGTGGGCTCGTCGGTGGAGCACTGTCTTGCTTACCTATATTGATAAGGGAAAGAACCAACATGGAAGTAAGTTGTACTTACTCCAGAGTATTGAGCCATGAACTGTAGAGAATGGGAAGAGTAGAAGAAGCTAGCTGAAAACCAGCCTGTTGGATTCATTTCTGTCTGCAATCCACTGTGATTAGCTGTTTTATTCCTGTTGCTTCACTTCTCCACAGCGAAGGACTTTAACCTAGAATTTTAAGCTGAACTAAACACCATTTCTCTCCTAAATTGTTTTTTATCAGAGTATTGTGTCATAGCAATAGAAAGAAAACTAGCATGAATGACTCTCTTCCATGGGCAGCTAACTCTGTTCTAGAGAACAGGAGAGATGCGATTAAAAGGATGTTCAGGGGAACCCTGGGCAATGAATGGGAGGAAATGCCAGGCAGAAGTGTTAACAGCTAGGCAGAAGCAATTGGGTTGAATGTAGGGATCCCCAGCCTACTCAGGTCTTTGTGACCTTGGCAATGCTCCTTTCCATTCAGAAGGGAAGAAGGGGTAAATTAGGTTGCCTCTTACCCAGGCTGGGGATCTGCATAGGAAGCAGGTTTTGCATGGGACTTGGATAACTGGTTGACCATTACATCTGGGAGAGAGCTCTGGTGGGTCGTCCCAAGCTATAATCCCCAAGAATTACAGCCTCCTTAGAGATAATCTCAACAGAGACTCTAGATGCCCAGGAAGTAATGCCACTGGGGATCTCTACAACAAGGGTCCCTGTTTCTTGTTAACTAAAGAATTGAAAACACACGCACAAACAGTTGATAGTGGAAGGCTGGATGCAGTGGCATGCAGATACACTTCCAGGAACCCGAGGGCTCCATTGAGAAGTTCAAGAAACCAGTTTACTTCTGGAAATTTCTGTTTGGGGTCCTAGAAGAGGAGGAATTTGTTCCTAGGGTTTGATTGTTTTCTGCTCAGATAAATTCTTGATTGCAGATGGAAATTCTGTACAGGCATGAGTCATATATCTTTAATTTGGACCATAGGGATGGCTAGTCATACACAGGGTGGATTTTGTCCCTAAAAGAATGCAGGCTGCCTTCTTGCACATTGTAGATGAAAGTTTTTGTCCTGCCCAGTCCTGCAGCCATTTGGCCCCAAATAAACAACTTTTAACCTCCTTGAGCACAAGACTGGGCCCCAACATTACATTTCTTGGTGCTCCTTCCCCCCCTTTAATCTGTACAACTTGTATTTCTTTCTGTCCCTCTTGCTCCTTCTCATTGTAGATCTGTGTAAGAGTAATCACTAATAATTGTGGGACACAGTCAATACCATCTTGAAATGCCCTCTGCCAATGATGTCAGCCCAAAACTCTTCAGTTTAGCTTCAGGAAGATTCTTTCGACGAAGGCAAAAGGCAGCCACTTTTTTGCCAAAATATCCTAAGTAAATTCTCTATGCCAGCTGTTAATATTCTTCCTTTTTGAAACCTCTTCAGAGCTGGACCTCTGTATTACAAATCACTCTCAGCACTACTGTCTTCCATGGTCTAGTTTGGTCCATTAAGCCCTGCTTAAAGCATTCAGCTGCCTTCTATTCTAAAGTCTCAAAGTCTTCCTCATTCCTCCAACAAACCGCAGGATCAGGCCTATCACATCAATTCCCCACTCCTGGTACCAGTTTCTGTCTTAGTTACTGTTCTGTTGCTGTGGGAATACCATGTCTAAGGAAATTGTATTAAAAAAAGAAAGCTTTTAGTTGGAGGATTGCTTAAAATTGTAGACAGTTATCTCATGATCATCATAACATGAAGCAAACAGGAATGGCGCTGGAATAGTAGCTGAGCATTTTAAATACTTCTCCATAGACAGATAGAAAGAATGGACCTGGCATGGAATTTTGAAACCTCAAAGCCCACTCCCAGGGACACACTTCCTCCAGCAAGTCCATACCTCCTAATCCTTTCTAAACAGTTCCACTAACTGGAGACCAAACATTAAAATGGTTGAACTTTTGGGGCTATGCTCATTGGAGCCACCACACCTTCCCTTCACTGTAAGCGCTGTTTGGAAGAGTAGTGTGGCAAGGGACAGGTCCCTGTTCATACTTCTGTGGGCTCCTCCCATTCTCTCCATGTTTGTTATCACAGCACGTCTTTCCTCACAGCTGTCCACCTGGCCTTGACCCAGCCCCTCCTGTATGTTTCACCAGTGGCCTCCTGGGATGGGCTGAGGGAGATTTGCCAAGGATACCAGGGACCACATGCTAACTGTCCCACATATGGTGAATCAGTGAGGAAGTGGCTAATTAATCACCAGAAAGTTCTTCCCAAACAAATCTATAAAGGGACAACAATCACACGCTGCCCCATGGCCGTACTCAGTTCAGCTGTTCCTGGTGGTGAGCAGATGGCTTCAGCCAGTGACAGTGACTGTTTGAAATAGCCCAATCGACTGTTTATTATCAGCATCCACAATGATTAGACACCATGATTCATCTACATGGAAAGATGTCATCCACATGAATAATGAGGCCCATTTGTCTGTAAGCACAGATCTTTGGGACACGGTGATGTCATGTTAAAAGATTCCTACCCAGTAGAATGGGGGGTTGGGAAGGAGGTGAAGACCACTAACTATGGGGCAAAAGGCGATGTCGAGATATACTCACCTTCACAGTTACCTCAATAGCCTGATTCTGATCCATGATCCTTGTCTGAAATTGTCCTGTCTTCATACTCCCACATCTAGCTCAGGGCCTGGCTGATTACTGGGAACATGATATGTCAGCTTGTCTGATGTGCTCAGTCCCTGGACTCAAAGTCTGGTCTGCATACGGTGCTAGAGAGAGCTGAACAGGGTAAGGCCTCAAAAAACACAGCCTTCGGCAAGACCAGGGCACCCTAAGGCAAAGTTCAGATTACAGTTAATGCACATATCCACACAGAGGCCTACGCAAGCCCTCACTGCATGGCAAAGACAGAAGTGTTGTGTACTGTGATCAGGCTGGTGACATTGCTTCAGGTAGCCTACGCTTGCATTCAATGTCCTAGTGAATGGCACATATGAATCAATTTTTATGGAGTAGAGGCTTATTTAGCTCATATTTCTAGAAGCTGAGAAGTTCAAGAGCTCACAGAAGCTCAGTGCTTGTCCTCTGCAAAGGCCACTCACAGCACCTCAATACAGCATAGAGGAGGTATTACAGGTGAGACAGAGCCAGAAGGCCAGCTCAGGTCTCTCTTACAAAGGCACTAATGCCATCACTGGACCCATTGTCAAGATCTCATCTGTTCCTAAATTAGGTTCAAATACAACTACATGTGACCATGTTAGCAACACAGGAACTTTTGAAGGGAACTTTCAAACTACATACACAGATATTGAAATTCAAGAATCAAACTAGTGAATGGTAAATGATGGGGCTCTCCAGCCCACGGTTGGAGTGGGAACTTAGAAATGAGCACAAGATGAGTAAATGATCTGTGATCCCTTCATTGTCTCATACCCAACCCTTCAGTGCAGTCACACTTACTCATGCTTGCAAACCTATACTGGTAAACCTGTATGCCCACATGTATGCACACACATACACAATGTGTGTGTGTAAATACTCACACACCTGCACACTCACAAACACATGCACATGTACATAGTCATGTCTGCACACTGATATCTCACACATGCACACACTCACTCACAGCAATTCCTATTTACATATCTCACACATGCGCACACTCACTCACAGCAATTCCTATCATATCTCACACATGCACACACTCACTCACAGCAATTCCTATTTACATATCTCACACCCGCACACACAGCAATTCCCTGCCTCTCATGCTCACGCTACACTTTTCCACACCACCTTCTTTCTACTTCTCAACACACTGTCCCTGTGTTTAACAAGCCGACTTGTGATATGTCTCTCCAACAAACATTGATGACTTCTGAGGAAAGCGTGTCCCCTACTATAGACAAGTGCCCACCCCAGTGTCTAACAACGGTGGGTGACAGGCATACATTTACTGAAGCATGTAGCTGTAGTGACGTCTTGCCTTGCCAGTGAACTCGCGGCGGTGGCCACATCCTATGGGCACGGCTTTCAGGTGTGCAGACGTGGTCCTTTATTAGGAAGAGGAGGAGCTGGCTAGCACTTTTGAGTTGAGGTAAGAGCATCAGAAGGGCAGAGACTGCATCTTCTGGAGCAGGAAGACTGCTGCAGTTATTTACTATGACTTAAAAGTTTTTCCCTA